TGGATCTATCAAAGCAATTTTTTTTTTGTTCTTTTTTTTTTTTTTTTTTAATTTTTGTTACTTTTTGTGATGCAAAATTACTAATTAAGCTTTTGTAATCAAGTTTCTATAACATATCATTTTCAAGGATAAATTGCTGACACACTTAATCTTTCTTGTGATATAGTTAACCATAGGTAGGGCTTTATAAATTTTAATTTTGAAGTACTTTTTTCTACAGAAGCAATTGTTATGGGTATTGTCAATAATATTTTGTAAGCAATACTTGCATTTGAAAAATAATCTAGATTTTAAAATATAATGTATGTCAATTGGTGTATTTTTCCTTTCCTAATATTTGTATGAATTCTTTTAAAATTTTTAATTTGGAAAAGCAATCAATTTTATAAAAATCATCAAAACTTACAAAATGAAGACAATATTTTTTCAAACTGCCATCATCTAAATTTATTTTTTTAAATTAAATAAAACATAAAAGGATAATTAAAGCTGGCCAAAAAATAAAAAACTTGGGATTTACAAAAGAAGCATTGAAAATATGAATTTTGTAAACGGTTTCCGTAAAGCCATTTGTTAAGAAGTTTGAAAATATTATACATTATTTATAAAAGTGTGTGAATAAAATGCTCTACCATTTTAAATTTTATTAACCAATTATTTCGGGACACTCATTAACAAGACTCAAGAAATTTATAATTATTATATGGGCATCACACAAAATGAGGCCTTCCCCAATTTGTGTGCCCAAGGCAATGGCGTTAATGGCCTTGAACTTGGGCCGGCACTGCAAACCATTTACCCAATCAACAATGAACAAGCAAACAAGGGGAACAAAAATTTATATGGTCTATGAATTTTGTAATCCAAAATTCCCAATATCTGGCAGTTCCAAAAGAAAGGTGCATTTAGAATTTAGAAAAGTATGCTTTTCTAAATAATGACCCAATGAGAGGGAAAGGCAGACTTATTGCAAATATTGATCCAATGACTCAATGATGGGAAAGTAAGACCTACTGCAAGAGGTCTTGAAATGATCTTTATATTAGATTTGATAGTAAAGATGGAGAAAAGTATGTTTACAAACTTGTTAAAATGAGAGAAAGGAAAACAAGAGACTTTAATCATGTTAAGTGTATTATAAGAAAGGATTCGATGCCAAGGCCAAGGCCAAGGCCAGCAAGAGCCCAACTGATACAAACACAGATTTAACACAAGAAAAAAGAAGAGATCAATTCAGTTGAGCACGGTTTGGGGGATGAACTCGAACAGATTTCAAGCCTTGACAAATAGATAAAATCAACAATTGTATAATCTGGGGTGTTAGAATCTTGCTTCACCCAAATTGCAGCTTGAATCTTTATAAGTTCCACGAGCTCCAGCCAAACAGGAGCTTTATGATTGAATACCTTTTGGTTACATGCAAGCCAAAGTGACCGAAGAACTGCTAATGGAAGAGCATCCCAGATAATTCTGCCTAGATGATTTGGCTTAAATCCGTACCGCCAAATTAAAAATCAGGAACCGAACCAGGGGAGATCCAAGACACTTTTATTCTCAACATAATTAAGGATAATCTCTCAACAATTTTTGCTACGGATACAGTAAAAATTCACAGAACAGAGTGGTGTAGAACCCACACCCATCCTTGTATTTATGCTGCAATTTTGTTGGTGTCCCGTTTGCATACTTTCTCATTCATATATGTCTATGCCCCAGGTTTTGGCAGGTCGATTGGTCCGGTGCTTAACACATGCACAAGTGAAGGAGGTTGTAGAGAAATTTTCAAATTTCTCTGGAGTGGTAATTTTGTGGGAAGGCCTGTGAAGTCAGAGAAATTTTCAAATTTCTCTGGAGTGGTAATTTTGTGAGAAGGCCTGTGAAGTCAGAGAAATTTTCAAATTGCTCTGGAGTGGTAATTTTGTGGGAAGGTCTGTGGAGTCAGAGAAATTTTCTAATTTCTTACTCTCAAATTGAAGTTTGATGCAGGTGATGAAGCTTGGTTTCACCAGCAAATAGAGGCCGATGGCTTCTTGTGATTTCCACTGGGAACACACTCCACTTCTGGAATTTTGGAACAGAACTGTGATAGTGATGGAAATTCCTATGTTATGCTGGAGTCCAATCCCCCAGAAGAAAGTGTGCCATTTTTTTATGGAAGCCCTTTCAAACAACACGGTGAGCCATAGAGTTACTACCTGAAGAAAAATACCATTTATTTTACATTTATGCACAGAATTGAAACTTCAAGATCAAATTTACAGTCTCTAGGTAAAAGAAAACTGAATTTTCTCTGGGTTGAAACCAGAGAAATTCTCTGGATTCAATAGTGACCACAGCATTCTTCACAGTGGAACCAAGGTATGCCTCGGCAATTTCACACATATTAATTAGAACCATGGAGGAGATCTCCTCAGCTGCAAAGAGCTTCTCCTCACCCTTGTAGTTGACATCGATCATGGGTTTGTCACCAGGGCCAGCAATGACCTTGAAAGGCCACAACTTCATGTCACTCTGTACCGAGGCATCAGTGAACCCCTTACCAATCAACCTCTTTGCATAAGCACAAAATTTATTACATTATTAAGGCTAGTACAAAACAGATGCAAAACAATTTCATGCTACATTTTCACTACAATGATGCATCACACAAGTACAGTAGAGTTCAAAATCCAGAAAGAAAATCAAAATAATTTAAAACAAATGCAATTACATACAGAGCTAAAAATTGGACCTTTCACGATTACATATTATCAAGTACTCCTGGACAACATATATATTTAGTTCAATCCAGAGAAATTTTAGTTCAAACCCAGAGAATTTCTCTGGGGATATATCGAGAGTGCCGGAACAATTTTACAAACCGAACTTACAACCAAAGAACCAATTTTCCCAAAACACAGAGAGAAAATAAACATAGATAGATAAACTTGTGGTTTGGAGATATATTTATATATATATATATATATATATTTTCATCTCTCCTGTTTTCATCACTTTTTTCTACCTTTGCACAGTGAAGCTTCTTACCTCTTATCCTCCAAGAACACTCAATCACTGAAGCTTTGCGCCTCTGCTAAGATCTAGATCCATTACTTCGTTGAAGGATCTAAGTTAACTTCGTTGAAGGATCTAGATCCATAGCTTTGCGCTTTTGCACAGGATCTAAGCTTTGCGCCTCTGCCACATACATATATATATATATATATCCGCCTCCTCTTGTGTTCCTTTTCATAATCAACCACAAAAACTGCTACAAAACCCCCCCTCTCTCTCTCTCTGTGTATATTTTGATTTTGTTTTGTAATGGCAACGATTAATCTTCCCACGAGAATGTCTGACGCCATTTTTGGGTGAGAATGAGAGAGGGGTTTCTGGTGTGCGAGGAAGAGAGACAAATTTATCTGATATATGTTTAGGGACCTTAGACATCAAAAAATAATTTTGTGGATCTCTTCCATTATGAAAAGTGGGGGAAGGACCCTAGACCAATTTTCCCTTAAAAATATAAAACTAACTGCATTGTATTTTTACACTTTAAAAAAAGTAAACGTAATTTATAAAATAAATAAAAAAAAGTTAGAAAGATGAAGTTGACTCTTGAAGACCTATCACATTCTCATACAGGGGTTAAGCATACTTTTTTTTTGAAAAGCAGTCACCATGTTTGGTTTTGGTTTTCAGACAATATTTTTAAAAAAAATTTATTTTTTTATTAATATTTTTTAAAAAAATTTATTTTTTTATTTTTTGTTTTCAATAAATTTTTTTAATATCTTAATAATTTTTTTTTTAAATTTTAAACACACCTAATATAAATACATTTAAAAAGTATAATATTTGTGAAAAAAATCTTTAAAAAATTCACTAAATACCAAAAATATTAAAAAAATGAAAATTTAGTACATTTTTCATATTTTTGTGTATTTATTAATTTTTTAAAATATTTTTTATAAATATTTTACTGTTTAGATACATCTAAGTAAGGTACATCTAAAAAAATAAAAAAATTACTTAAAATTTTAAAAATATTCACTAAAAATAAAAAATACAAAAAATAAAATACTCAATTTTTAAAAAATTAAATTAAAAAAATTAAAGCTAAACACACTAAGTGATTTGATAGGTAAATTTTCCATAAAATCATACTTCCATTAAAATGCGGATTTCATTCGCAAAAGTATTATTGACTCTATGAACCTACATATTTTAGACTTATGGAATGCTACAACTTAAAGGAACTTTTGGCCAATTTTTTATAAATAAAAAATATACAATTATTTGATGCAATATTAACCAGTGTTCAACATACTTGTTAGCAACCATGATCGTTGATTTTTTTAAAGATAAATATGTTAAAATTATATAATTATAATTATTAAATTAATATGATTTTTTTCCCTTTATAAACGCTTGAATAATGTTATACATAATCTTCCTTCTTATCTCATTTTCTCACTCTTGTATTTATGAGTAAGAAAAAAAGAAATAAAAAATAGGATTATAAGTAGTATTTTCCTAAATGATTTACACAATACCTACAAAATGAACAAAATAAATCATTAGAATAGAATTCATAGTGGACTCGCAAACTCTTCCAGTCTCGGATCGAATCTGTTCGGTTCACATAGTAGACCGGAGACAATCTAATATACTCATACTAAATAGTAAAGACTGAATTCTTTTTAGTGCATTGAACTAGATAACCTAGTCTAAACCATTGGGCCTATTGCTGGTTGGTTTTGATGATTCATTCTATTCATTTTTTAGGTTTTTGTTTTCAAAACAACAAACAACAAATATAATTTTGAAAATAAATTAACTATTTTTTAAAATGTTAAGATAATAAAATTATGTGACTTTATGATCTATACACAAGAACTTAAAAAATAAACAAAATGAATCATTGAAGTAAGACCGGTAATAGGTTTAACAGGGAGACTTGTTCCTCTCCTGTACAAAAACTAATTTGGACTAGAAAGAATCTAAAAAGTCCCAAAATATTAAAAGTGGTGCACACATGTTCATATAAACTAGTTCCAACTGCAGTATAGCATATGACCCCAAAAAACAAAAATGGCCCCTATGCCTTTGCTTCTTTTTCTTCTTGCTGTTGCTTTTGCTGTTGTTCAAAGCTTCCCTTTTTTGGCTCTTTCAGTGCTTCTGGTTTGCCTTTTCTTTTACCTCCTCAACATTCTATGGCTAAAGCCTCAAAGGGTCCGATCGATGCTCCAAAAACAAGGTATCAGAGGACCTCAACCTTCTCTTTTCTATGGTAATGTTTCTGAGATGCGGAGAATTCAATCAGCAGCTGCTGTGAACCACCGCGGCGGCGAGGAGTTTGTAGCCCACGACTACACCTCCACCCTCTTCCCCTACTTTGAACAGTGGAGAAAAGAATATGGTAAGATATCATCCTTTTTTGATTTTGTTTGCTAAATTTTCCTTTTCATTTTCTACTACTTTCTATGTGCCGAGAAATTGATGACCAGAAAAAAATTAGATTTATCTCACAATGCTATCAAATATAAAAATCAATCAATAATTGGAAACAAAATTTTGGGTAAATTATGTTCTAAGAATTAAACTTAATTCTCATCAAGTCTTAATGAAAATAAATTTTAGTAAAATTATCGTTAAAAATAATTTTTTGAGACGATTCTTTACATGTCACTAAATTTTGACAATTAGTGACTTTTTTTTCACGATTTTTATAAATTGTTGCCAAAACTTACAATTAGTGACGTTTTTCTATGATATTTTTCAAACTGTAGCTGAAAGTTAAAAATTAGTGACGTTTTTTTGATTTTTTTTAAACTACCGCTAAAACTTATAATTAGTGATTTTTTTATGATAATTTTTAAACTATCGTTGAAAATTAATAATTAGTGACATTTTTAATAATATTGATGAAAAATATTATTAATTCTCACATGATCTATTAAATAATAAATTTATTTATTAAAACTTATACGTAAATTCTCAAATATATTTTTTTTAATGGAAGAATCCAAAAAGAGGTCAAGTTACGTTGATAAAAAAAACTTGAACACTATAATTTATGATAGTGACATTTTTAATAATATTGATGAAAAATATTATTAATTCTCACATGATCTATTAAATAATAAATTTATTTATTAAAACTTATACGTAAATTCTCAAATATATTTTTTTTAATGGAAGAATCCAAAAAGAGGTCAAGTTACGTTGATAAAAAAAACTTTGAACACTATAATTTATGATAAATAAATATAATTATTTAGTTTTCACTGTGTTGATAGCCTAATATTAGTTGACTTTCTGAAGTTGATGACGAATTCATGGGGGCATGGCTCTGAGTCTTGCACACACACAAAGCACGAGCAGAAGTGACATTAGATAATTGTTTTTTTTAATTATTTTTTTAAAATTATTATTAACACTCAATGTGTTTTAATAAATGTCAAAATGTTCTTTTTTGGTGGTGACAAAATTGATGGATCCTTTAGTTAATTTTTGTAATCAAAACAAATAAATTTTTTTTATAGCCAGAAAAGGAGACATTTTTTAGACAAAATTAAACTGAACTTAAGTTTTGCGGCCACATAATATACTCATTACTTGAAATATTTTTTTCTAGTCGAAGAACTCAAAAAGTTGTCAAGTTACGTTCACAAAAACACTTGAACACTTATCTTTAAATACATAAAATTTCAAAACATATGCTTTTAGAGGCATGATTTATATGGGAATAGAACTACATAAAATAATTTAAAAGCAGAAAATCTCAAACCCTAATTTTGATGAAAATATTAAAAATCTCAAAAAAATTAAAATTGTATAATTTCCAGTGGACCCTACCAACCCATTTATAGTAGACAATAGTCTGGAAAAATTAAAATAATTTTGAATGTATTGATTAGATATTTTATAGAACCTTAAACATAGTAAAAAATCGGATTTCCATGACTAATCTTACTAAGCCTCTGTTTGGCAAGATGGTTTTCAGGCTTTTTTGGCTATTTTAGCCACAAAAAATAAAATAGGCTATTTTAGCCATAACAAACAAAACATCACATCTAACCTATAATCATTACATTCTTCTCTCACAAAAAAAGTCAAAAAAGTCAAAAAGTCAAAAAGTCCTTCCCAAACCAAGCTTTTTAGCCCAGGCTAAAATAGCCAAAAAAGCCAAAAAGCTAAAAAGCCAACCTACTTCCCAAACCAAGCCTAAACATGGGTTAATGAGTTACTAGTTAGCGGGGCCGGTCCTGACTTTTTAAGGAGCCTAAGGCGGAATAAAAACAGAGGCTTATATTCATAAAAATAATAATAATAATAATTCACCCTGATTGGTATCAATACTAAAATAGATATTAAAATGTATTCATAAAAAAAAGAAAAAAAAAAAGAGTTACCAAAATTAAAAAAACTTTATTCAATTAATATGTATTGGACATGTATTGAATTAATTGTTGTTTATTGAATATGTTGTTTATGAGTGTGGTTGAAGTGTGGGTGCATTGTTATTTATTGAATATATTGTGAATGAATGTAGTTGAGGTTGAATTAATTGTTTATTCCATTAAAATCTAATAAACAAATAAGGTAAAAAAATTAGAGCAAATTTATTTATTCTACTAAAATCTGATAAAGAAAGAAGGAAAAAAAAAATTAGGGGGTCTATTTTGGGCCACCAATATTTTGTAGGTATATGTAGTGTTTCTCATTCAAGACCACCAACATTTTGTATATATTTTAATTTCAACTAGACCAAACTACACTTATAAACAAATATGAGCCAAACAGAATATTTTTAGATCCTTTAGATTGGCCCTAACACAACAAAAATAATTTAAGTTTGTTTATATTTGTAATATACTATAATACTTTTTAAAATTTAGAGACCCTATTTTGAACCAATATTTTGGGACCTAAGGCACACACCTCAATAACCTTAGCCTGGGACCGATTTTGTTTGTTAGTTAGAGTTTAAATCCTCTAAAACCTACTATATCCTATCAGAACAACAAGAGTTTTTATCAACTATCATTAGAATTAATAAAAAAAAGAAAAATTTACCCATAAGTCCTAGTTTTTGAAAAGTTGAACCATTTAGTCCTAAAAGTTTTCTTATGCTCCATTTAGTCCGATTTGCACATCAATCTAATGTTCGAAACATTAATCTGATGTTCGAAATCTAATGTTCAAAACATTAATTTGATATTTGAAACATTGTAATGGGACCTTTCAGTCTAGAAGAAAACTTTTAGGACTAAACAGTGTATAAGTTATTAATTTGGGATTTATTGGTGTATTCCCCTAAAAAAAACACAAAAAAATTATCATTAAAGAATTGACATAATATTTGAAATGCACAAGGCTATGAAGTAGATGCACAAGGTCATGAAAATGATTGATAGGTCGGCACAATCCTCTCATTCGAGATTGAATGTAGTGATTCTTATTAGATTGTGATTTATATCACATAGAGTACTCGTATCAATTAATTTTGAATTAACTTTTGATCCGAGAATAACTACTCATAAATAAATTATCAATATAAAGTCAATGTGCGGGTTATAACCTTCAAACTTCATAAATATCTCATTATTCATATATAATTTTGAGTATTGATAAAAGATTTAAACATTTTGACTACTAAAAATCTATGCAACTTTCACTTTTAATCCCTCCAAAATTGAAATAATCTAGGTAAAATTTCATTCTAACCCCTCCAAATTTGAAATAATTTTACTTTGTCATTTGAAACTTCATAAAAAAAATCTCACAATTCAGTGTGCTTGGTTTTAGTTTTCTGAATTTAGTTTTTTAAAAATTGAGTTTTTTTTTTCATGTTTTTTTATTTTTAGTGAATATTTTTAAAATTTTAAACAATTTTTTTACTTTTCTAGATGCATCTTACTTAGATGCATCTAAATAGTAAAAATATTTGTGAAAAAATATTTTAAAAAATTAATAAATACACAAAAATATGAAAAATGTATTGAATTTTTATTTTTTTATTATATATTTTTGGTATTTAATGAATTTTTTTAAAAAATTCATAAATATTATATTTTTAAGTGTATTTATATTAGGTGTGTCTAAAAATTTTTAAAAAAATTGCTTAAAATATAAAAAAATTCATTGAAAACAAAAAATAAAAACAAAAAATAAAAATAAAATTCTGAAAAGTGTTTCCTAAAAACTAAAACCAAACAAAATTAGTATAATCTTACTTTAACCCATTTAACATCTAATTACTTTTACCTTGGTCCCTTTACAAATTTTTTGGGTCACTATTAGTTGGCAAAGTTAAATTTTCACTTAATTTTGACGCTGCAAGAGAATTCAATAAGGTCATGTTTGATTGGAAGTTTGGGAGGGTGGATTAGATTATCAATCGGTGGGACTTATTAAACTCTTGTTTGGATGCAACAAAATGTCATAGGGTTTGTAGTAAAGGAGGCTTAGTAATCTCCTTCTGTAAGGGGATTAGTTTGGGTGAACTTTACGTGAGATTGGAAAAATAGTGAGGGGATTGAATATATTTTATATAATTTTTTTTTTTTTTACCAAGTTAATATTTGTTTTAGTTTTTTTTTTTAATATAGAAATAATTTATTTATTTATTTTATATAAAAATAATTTAACAATTCTATCACTAATCATTTCCTACACTATCATCAAAACAAACACTTTTACTTAATCCTTTCACTAACAATCTATATATTAACAATTTTTTTTTACTAATAATCTCATTCAACCTAATCCGCTTAATAAACGTGGCCTAAAGTTTCTGTTAACTAGATTCTTAAAAATACTCATTAAGAAATTTGAAATTATTATATATTTTTATTTATTTATAAAAGTATGTGTTATAAAAATATATAATCATTATGTAATCATTCAAACATTGTTAATTAGAGATTGTTTGGAGTGTCCTAAATAAGTATATTTTTTGTCTTTTTAAACTAAAAAATTGAGGTTGAAAATATGAATGTTTGGGTTAGCTTTTTGACTTTTTATGAAAAAATGTGTAATAAAAAATTATAAAAATTAATTTGTAAGGGAAAATTAGAATTGGAATTAGTATTGAGAGTTGTGCAGCCGTAATTGTTAACTTTTAATGAATAATGATAACTTTTTAACTTTTTGAATAACTTTTTAACTTTTTAATTTTTTTGAGACTTTTCAAACTTGGCCTTAATATTCTTGAGACACTTCTTTGGGCCGTGATTTATACCTCCAGTGGGAGTCGACCCCCAACAACGTGGCAGCCCCTGTCTGCTAAAAACCAAAAAATTAAAAATAAAAAATAAATTTTTTTTTTGGCCCAATCAGTGAGCTACACGCACGGGGGGCGGTGTTCTTAGGCATTTTCCCACTTCTTTTATAGAGTGTGAGACTTTTTATTGT